CAGCCCCCCCATGGGCCCCCACTCCATGTCGGTGCCCCCCACACCCGCGCTGGGCTTCGGCACTGCAAGTCCGCAGGTGAGTGCAGGGCTGGGGCAGTGCGAGGCGGGACCAGTGGCCTATGTGGGCTGGGCCTCACCCGCAGGGCGTCCGTCCTCCACAGACCGGGTGGTGCTGTACTGCCTTCCCCCAAGTCAGGCCAGCTGGCCCCCGCGAGCAGCCTCAGCCGGGCCTGTGCTCATGCCTGGCTGCCCCTGAACCTGGCCAAGGAGCTCTGGGGGCTGGGGCCTTGCCTTTGTCAGGCTTAGTCCCACCGCGTGGTCACATGGGCTTTCCCTCCTGGTTTCTGGTCACAGGCCACTGGTCTATTGCTCCCCTGGATCTGTGGGACTGTCATGTACAGAAATACCCTTCCCCAGGGACGCCAGGCCTCAGGCCCGGAGCCGTGGTGCCAGTCAGTGCCTGTGGCCTCCGTTTGCATGGCCCTGCGGGTGCTGGCTGTCTGCCGGACTCCCGGCCTCCCAGCCTCCGCAGCCTGGGCATCTCACAGCTGCACCTCTGCCTGGCCTGTGGTGTCCTGGTCAGCCTGTGTCTGGTGTCTGGCCCTCTCTTCCTTGCCTGGGGATGGCTGCTTGTCAGAAGTGCCATGCCGTCCATACCTCTGGACCAGGAGCTGCGGGTGGGCCAGCCGTTGCCCCCACTCTTGCAGGCCCTGGCGGCTTTCTGTCGGGCTGAGACTGCCCTGCTCGCGGCCTTCCAGAAGGGCAAGGGCTCTCCCTGACCGCCATCCCCAGCCCCACTCCAAGCTTTCCGCTGTGGGCTCAGCACATGTTCCTGCAGCTAAAGACCTTCCAGCACATGACAGCCACTAGGACCTGCCCAGAGCCATGTGTCCCGTAACCCCCTCCTCCAGAGGAGCCTCCCACCTCCTGGGCACCCACTCACCCCCCGCCCTGAGGCTGGGAGTCAGGTCTGGAGGGTTTGGAGCCGGCCTTCACCCTCTGGACTGCTTTCCCGGAGACCCTCGGTCTCCCTGGCTTTTCTAGGCCTACCCTCTCCACGCCCTTTGCCCTGGGGATGGTGGTGGTGGTGGTGGGGTCTCGGCTGGGCTCTCCACACCGAGCACATGATGGGCCCCAGCTCACAGTACTGGTTCAAGTCATTCACCAGAGAGCAGGTGCCCAGGCCCCAAGGCTGACGAGGGCCGGATGGGGTGAGGTGGGGGCAGACCTCCGCCTCCCTCGTCAGGCCTACAGCTAGTTTTATAGGCACTGAACCCTGCGTGTGGCCTCTGACCCCTGAGCAGGCCTGAGGTCCCCCAGATCACAGCCTCCTTCCCCGGGGACTGAGTCTAGCTGCTGGTTTTCAGCAATCTGTCCTAGAAACCTGTGGTTCCTCTTCTTCGTGGGACTGTGGGTGGAGTTCGGAGATGGGGCGCCCCACCCCTAGCCCCTAAAGCACAACCACAGAGCCAGAGTTGCGGGAGCCAGCAAGGCTGTCTGACTTCTGCAATTGTCAGGGGGCCTGGCGTCCAGCCCGGCTGCCTGCTGGAGCTGTGGCCATGAGGGCCGACAACTTCACGGGTCTAAGCCACGTGACTGTGCAGTGGGGCATGGATGCCTCGGGCCGGGGAGGGCTAGGATGTAGCCACCCAGTCCTAAGCTGTTAGCACCTGAACCAGGACAGGACTCAGGATGTCCCCTGCTGCACCCCAGAGCCCCTGGCCATCGTGGCTGGCTGTGGACACAGGCTGGGGTCGGTGCAGTGGGCCACTCCTGCACACAGCCCTTCCTGAGCGCTGCCCCAGCGCAGTGCTGGATCCAGCCGGCCTGGCGCGGGGGCCTGCCAGGGCTCGCAGGCATGCTGTGTGCGTGAGGGAGTGCGGGCCAGCCCAGGGTTCTTTGTGGGGCTGGGACTGGGCAGCGCTGATGCCAGGCTCCTGTTTGGAGCAGAGCTGGAAGGCAGCGTGCAGAATGGGGCTTGCTCTCGCTGCCACGGACAGGGGATGGGGTACAGTCAGCTCCTGCCAGGGTGAACCCCTACCCCAGTTCTGACTGTGAGTAGAGGGTCTTCCTCAAGTTGCGGGGGGCGCTGAGCAAGGAAGGGTGTGGGGGTGTGGAAGGGTAGGGCAGGGATGGGCAGGAGACGGGGTAGGACCTGGGTGAGGCAGGACCAAAGTGAATGTGGACATGAAAGGGGAAACGGGTGGGGGTGGAGGCTGGGCTCTACCCCACCCTGGCCACGTGGGCATCTATCTGCAGGCTCCTGGAAGACTTGTGTGCCGTTGGGGAGGGTGCGCAGAGCCAGACCAGGCCCAGGCCTGTGCCGTGTTCCAGGAACTCTGAGCAGGGCTAGGCCTGTCAGCTTGGGGCTGGGAAGGACAACACCGTCCCCGGCTCAGCCCAGAGAAGCACAAGGGTGGCCTGGGCTGTGGGCCAATATGGGCGTCCGGCCCAGGAGCCAGCATGGCCACAGCACTGCCCCTAGGAACCATGGTCACCTGTCTCGTCCTGCCTGGGAGCCCTTCTCCGGTGGGACTGTGAGCAGCTCTCGTCCGTCTCCACTTAACCCAGGGCTGGAGCCAGGCCCAAGAGCTGCACTTGGGGGCAGGGAGATGGAGGGGGCTCCTTCCCCACCTCGGGTGACTTGCCGGGGAGGGGGGAGCACAGAGAGGAAACGGGCGAGTTCCTCTCCCGGGCCGCCTCCTGCAGAGAGAAGGCGGACAGCCCAGGAGAGGCCTGCACCGTGCCAGCCAGGCCCTGCTCCCACGTCCTCTGCCTGCCATCACGCGGGGAGACTTACCGTTCCCTTCTTCCCCTTCTATTGCCCCCTTCCCACGTTGGCCGGGACAGCTCTGTGCCTGGGACCCCACTTCGTCTGAAAACCCTGGGCTCTCCTCCAAGAGATCCCCTGCCCATGGCAACTGTGGGCCCTTGGCCTGTCCACATCCGAGTCTGCAGAGCCACATGGCAGCCCTGCCCCGAGAGGGGTTGAATGCTCTGTTACCCGTCCATTGGCCCCAGGAAGGCAGCAGTACTGCCCGGTTTGCAGATGGGAGACTTAGGGTCTGCTCAGATAACTCCCCCAGAGGTGCAGAACAGAGGTGGTGGGGCCTGGCTGTTCGTTCTCTTTGGGATGAGCAGGCCGGCCTCCTCTGCCCCCATGGCCTCAGGGCCATCAGGGCTGTCTGTGTTTCCCCTCCCACGCATCCAGCAAGCTCTGGGCTGGGGGGTAGTGGGGCTTCGGTCCTAGTGACCCCAGTGGCACGGCATAGGCAGGGCAGGCTGGGGCTTAGTGGGACCAAGGAACAGACCTCTTTCTTGCTGAGGGATCTGGGCAAGCCCTGTCCTCTGGGGCTGCTCTTGAGCAAAAGGAGGCTCTGGGGTGAGTTCCGTTTGGCGAGTTTCATGCACCAAGCCCTCTGTCCCATGAGAAAGCTGGGGTGGGGCATGGGCACTGTGGGAAGGGAGGAGGGAGGCTCCCACGTGCAGGAGCTCTGGGGGCAGTGTGGCAGCTGGAGGCATCTGCATCGCCCACTTCCCGCCTTTGCCAAGGTTTGCAGACGTGGGGGTCGGGCTACCCACCCTGGGTTCTGCCGCTGCAAACAGGCGGGTGGGATGCAGCAGGAGCAGTGGGAGGCGCCCTGGGCCTTCGCGGACTCGCTGACTGCAGAGTGGGGTGGAGGCAGGGGAGCCAAAACTGCTGTGTCATTGCGACGCGGTCGCTGTTGCCAGGGTGACCGGTGAGTTTCCCACGCTGCCCTGGTGGCTGCAGCAGTGGCTGGCGGGTGGGGTGGCAGCTGTGCAGAGGCCAACAGTGTCTGTGTCCCCTGGTGCCCCGGGTGTCTGCTCCCCTCTGTTACGTGACCGCAGCCCTCCACTCTGCCCTGCTCGCTGGGCCTGGCCGATGCAGTGTACACCAAGTGTAGCTTTGGGGACCCCGGCTCCCCCGCCCCAGCCCTGCTGACTGCATCTCTGTCCCCACCTGCAGGCGGGGGGACACTGAGCGCATGCCTGTCAAGGGAGCACCTGCTGCAGGCCAGGCCTGGGGAGGGGTCAGTGATGGGGGGCCCTTATTAAGGTGGATGATGGGCAGGGGTGTGGCAGAGTCATTCGAGTGGGGGCCAGGGTGCCTCAAGGTTCCTGGGAGGCCTGGAGTCTGCATGGAGGTGGCAGCCTGGGGAGGGAACTGGGCCCAGACCTCCAGCCAGCACCCCGAGGACAGTGGGCCGGCTCTAGCAGCAGGCTGGGAGGCCCAGCCTCCCCTGCCACCGCTCCTGCTGCAGCTCCCCTGCCTCAGTCTCTGGAACGCAGGGTGCGACCCGGGAGGGCTGGCGTGCGGCCCTCGGCTGCCTGGGCTGAGTGCTCACTGTCTTCCCTCAGCTCAGCTCGCCCATGAACCCCGTGAGCAGCAGCGAGGACGTCAAGCCCCCGCTGGGCCTCAACGGCGTCCTCAAGGTCCCCGCCCACCCCTCAGGAAACATGGCGTCCTTCACCAAGCACATCTGTGCCATCTGTGGGGACCGCTCCTCAGGTAGGCTGCCCGGGGATGGAGAGCCGGGCCAGCCCCTTCCGATCAGCCGTGCAGAGCTAGGGGTAGGGGGAGCCTGGGCCCGGGCACTGCCTTGTGAGGGGCCACCGGGGGAGGAGGCAGCTGTCTTGGTGACGACAACGGCAAGGGGCCAGCGGGCACGCCTGTCCTCGGGGCCCTGCTTTGCAGGCCGAGGGCGGCGCCGATGCCCACTGTTCATGGACGAGTCAGCCTGGGCACGGGGCCCGTCCTTGCCGGCGCCCGGCCCTCACGGCGGGATCCAGCCCCGCGGGTAGAGCCCAGGCCTCACTTTCTCAGATGGGCCCCGAGGCCCGGCCCGCCGCCCACCGCAGGCCGTCATGGCTGCCGCCCACAGGCAAGCACTACGGCGTGTACAGCTGCGAGGGCTGCAAGGGCTTCTTCAAGCGGACGGTGCGCAAGGACCTGACCTACACCTGCCGCGACAACAAGGACTGCCTGATCGACAAGCGGCAGCGGAACCGGTGCCAGTACTGCCGCTACCAGAAGTGCCTGGCCATGGGCATGAAGCGGGAAGGTAGGCCGTCCGGCGGGCTGGCCACGGCGCCGCCCCGCGTCCTCCCTCCCTGCGTCCTGTGTGACAGGGCCCGAGTGCAGACCCCAGCCCCCGCGGCCTCAGGATAGGCTCACTGCCCCACGGGCTGCTTGCCACGGGTGGCACCGGCCCCGGCTCGAGGCCTGCTCCAGGCTGGCACTCCGGAGCCCGCTCCTGGGGCCCGTGTCCAGGAGGGTCAGCAAGCCCCCTGGTGTGGCGGTGTTGAGGTGGGCACCGTCGGGGCATCCTCTGAGCCTGCGGGACGACGATGCCATAGCCCTGGGCGTTGCTTCCTCCCGGCCGACTCCAGCTCCCCGAGGGCCAGCCGGTGATGCCCGGGCCCTCGGGTGGCAGGACTACATCTGGGTCTCCTTTTCGACCTTGGGTGTGTGAGGCTGTTTTCTTGACAGGATTTGTGGAGGGGAGGGGTCACGGAAGGCCACACCCCTGCGGTCGCTGAGAACTGTCAGGTTGTCCAGCCAGACCCCGAGTGCTTGGCCCTGTGGAGGCTGCGATTTCCAGCCTTTGCCGTGCGTGGCCTCAGCTTCCCTCCCCGCGGCACCCCCATTTTCCGCAAAGGTGTGACGAGTTCTGGAGTCGCGAGTGGAGGCCGGGGCTGTGGTTTTCAGCACGTTTTCCTCGCCAAATCTCAGTGCTGGCCTCGGGTGCTTGAGGGTGCTGTTGGGGTCAGGAGCCGCATCTGCCCTCTGCTGCAGGAATCCCTGCACGCCCTTCCCCACCACAGCTGTTCCTGTGGCTTCCACGGGGCCTGCGTGGGTCTCATGACGTCTCACCATGGGGAATGTGGCACGTGGCGATCGTGGTGCTCCGGTGTCAGGCTCCTCTGTCCCTCCGTGTCTGTCTCTTACGTTAAGAAAGACCCTGCAGGGTCCAGGCCTCAGCTAGCCTGACGGTGACAGGCTTGCTCTGGTATGCTCAGGGTCTCTGCCTCCGAACCCGAACCTTCCCACGTGGCTCAGCTTGGTGTTTACACCCTCCTCCCCATCTCACCCGTGTGTGCACGTGAGCTCGCTCAGCCTCGCTGTTTCTGAATGAGGAACCTCAGCCCTGGCTGGGCCCCACCCTCCTGCAGGGTCCCCTCCTGAGGCTGTACGAGGGGAGTGTGGCCATGGGGGCCCCGGGGCAGGGGTGCAGACCCAGAACTGGGCTGCCTTCAGGGCTGACGTGGGCCGTTGCAGGCCTGGGCGGGGATGCACACTTCACGGAAGACCAGAGAGTCAGAGAACATGGCTTCCTTTAGTCCTGTCCCTTGCTGTGCAGCTGGGAAAACTGAGGCCAGAGGCCCAAGCCTCATCCAGGGTCATGTGACCTCATCCAGGGTCACCCTGCCTCTGACTCCCATCCAGACCTTATGTCTTTGCCAGTGACAAGGTAGAGGGAGCACGCACCCAGCCAGGGAGACCCTGGCTCCTCTGGGAGCCTGGTGTAGTCAGGAAGGGCTTGGTGGAGGTGGTGAGTACAGTGTGGTCCCTGAAGGATGGAAGCCTGGACAAGGGGCAGGGACTGGTAAGCAGTGTACCGTGTGTGCGACCTGTGGAGCCTTGCCCAGCCCGAGGTGGACGGCACAAGACCTGGCCTTGGGAGGAGCAGCCACGGCCCAGGGTGCTCTTGGGTCAGCGCCCATGGTCATTCACTCAGAACTCCCTGCTGCCTTTACTGAGCACCATGCTGGGCGCGGGTGGACAGCCGTGAGCTCACCGCCCAGCAGCTGGTCAGTAGGTGTAGGTGCAGCCAGTGCTGGTCCAGTGGAAGCTCGTGCACGCGGGAGCCCGGAGGCAGCTCCTAGCCCAGCCTTGTGCACCAGGCAGGGCTTGGGGAGTCAGGTGATCCAGGCCAACCCTGAGGAAGGAGCAGCGTCAGGCCAGGTGAACGGAGCCCGTGAGCACCCAGGCCGTCGGCACGCCTTGTGTGTGGAAGGGATAACGGGTCTGGGGTCCAGAGAGCAGCTGTCCTTGGGGCCCCGGGACCTTACGGCTAGTGCCGACTATCCCATCACCCCAGCACCTGTCTGCCCAGTGCAGTGTCACTGACTACATGTCTAGACCCCCATGGTGGCCTGTCCCTGTCCCTGTCTGACCCCTCCCTCAGAGCGCCACCCTGCCACTCCTTACACGCAAGCTGGCTTCCCCCGCATGCGCCAGTGCTGTCTGCACCTCAGATGGAGATGGGGCATGAGGGTGCTGGGGAGGTTGCGGCCTACACAGGGTGGTGCTGGGCTGTACCCCAGTCTCCTCGCTCCTGCAGGCGCCCGTGTTGCCCGGGCCCCTACGTAGGCCTGATGGGCAGTCGGGCACTTGAGGCCTACCATTCACAGCATGGCTCTGGGGACCCGACTTATGGGGTGCCGGTCTTGCTAGGGGACCCACCTCTCCTTTGCCTGCAGCTGGGTTATGAACCATGGTGTGTCCTGACACACCACAGACCTGCCCTACTGCCAGCACTGGGGGCCGGGCAGTGCCCTCCAGCCTGGCCCAGCACTGTGGCCCAGGGCTCCTCTCCACTCAGCTCTTGCCGCACGCCACTGCGAGGAGGGTTCCCTGGCAGCAGCGTGCGGGCTGTTGACTTTGTGAGTCCGGGCAGCCAGAGCACCCCAGGGACTTGGGGCCCAGTGTGTCAGCTGGGAACAGCCTCGGGCCAGAGCCTGCAGGTGGTGAGCTGTGGGCCCTCAGGCCAGCCCAGTATGTGCTTGTCTGCAGCTCAGCGGCCAGCGGGCCCCACTGACTAAGCTGAAGCCACACAGCCCCTCGGGCTCGTGACTGCCCTCTGGACGCAGACTTGCGCCAGGCCTCAGTGTAGCGAGAGGAAGCGGCACTGGGGCCGGTGAGCCCTGGGGGTCCCAGTCTTCCTGAGGCATAGCTCCTCCGTGGGGGCCCTCTGGCTCAAGCACAGACAGGGTCCTCGCCTGCCCAGGCTACAGAGGGATGCTGCAGGCTGGTAGCACCTCAGCTTGAGCGGCAGTGGGGTGCACACCACCACGCGGACTCGTCGGGCAGCATTCCCGGGCCGGGGGTGGGCACAGCTGGTGGGAATGCCGTGGCGGGCTTGGCCCTCTGCCAGGCTGAGCCCAGGCCTGTTTGCTGGAGAAGGCTCAGGGCTCGGGGGCCTGCAGGTGTGCTGACGGGCGCTCGGCCCGTGGGGCTGGCTCCCGCCTGGTGTTGCTGCCCGGCCTGGAGAGAGCCGCCTGCTCTCTGCTTCCTGCCTGCTCCTCATTTCCTTCCTGCACCCTATCCCAAGGCGTTGCAAGGTTGGGCATGGAGGGGGGCACACAGCGGGCACCCCTGTTCCTTCCCTCCTTCCTCTCACTCATGCCCGGGCCCGTGTGTGTGTGGGGGCTGGCCACGCCACAGCGCTCTTCCTCCAGCCCTGCGTGTCTTAGGCACCTGTGTGCGTGCCTGATGTGTTTCGGGGGCCTGGGCCAGGGATTTGAACCCAGTTGCAGCACCACTGGGTCACAGGGCTGGCCTTCCCTCAGCCCCTGCTGTAAGGAGAGCCTTGCCGGGGCAGCCACTGGCAGGGGCAGGGCCGCGCCCGCCCCCGGG